TTCCTCCGGCCATCGACGAAAGACGGCCGGAGGGACTAAATTATGAATATAATTAATCATAATAATATGATTATAACCACATATAACCAAATAGAAGATAGATGATTTTGTTTTCCATTTAAAAAAATAATTTTTTAAAAGTGTTCCACTAGAAAATTATTTTCAGTTTTAAAATGAAAAACTGTATGTATGTGCTAGTAAACATTCTCCAGTTTTCTAAAAAATTGAAAAAAAATTCCAATTAGTAAACGCACCTCAAACTTTCTTTCTCCTCTTTCTTCCTCTTCTACCACACATTTGGCCTTACAAAAAACCACTTAAAATCTACTAATGTGGTTATACTTGAATGATAACCAACCATCAGCTCTTCTGTGGTAAATTCTTCAGATGGGGTTCCATTATTATCTATCCTGTTGCGCCAGAGAAGCACTGATACCATCTTTGCGTGTGGCTTAATCTGTGAAGACTTTGCTGGCACTACCTGCCTCTTCGGTGTCCTCTTATTCCGTAATAACATCCTTAACTTTCTGGATGATATGGAAAGACGAAATGGGTTATACTTGGATTACCAGAGTCTAGTTTGGTCTGCTAACCGGAACCATCCTGTCACAGTAAATGCAAGCGTGGAACTGAGGCCAGATGGAGGGTTGTTGTTGATGGACTCTAATGGAACACTGGTTTGGTCCACACCCACTAATGGGAATCCTGCCTTGAGTTTGAATTTGACGGAGGATGGAAACCTTGTAATTTTTGGCCAAAATTATGAAACCATTTGGCAGTCTTTTGATCATCCTACAGACACTATACTACCTGCTGCTTGGAAAGCAATGTCTTCTAGGCTTAGCGGACAGAGGATGCTCAAAGCCAGTATATCAAAATCAAATTTTGGAGAAGGTTTCTATTCACTCTACATTGATAATGATTTGGCTTATGCTTATATATGCTCCTCTAATGCGTATTGTTATCAATATGCTAATATAGAAAATAATATGTCCAATTATTTTCCAAATAATGCATTCATCAAGTTTGAGCCTGATGGACATTTGAGAACGCATGGAATTGAATCTTCTGAGTGGGTGGAAACTGCTGATGTGTTCACACCTTCTACTGGTCTTTGTGGATACCCATTGGCTTGCGGGAGATATGGTGTTTGTGATCGCAATAATCAATACTGTAGTTGTCCTCCTCCTGATAATGAACTGGGCTTTTTCACGCCAGTTAACCGAAGTCGAGCAACCCAAGGATGTTCTTTAAATACTCCCATTTCGTGTGAGCATTCCCAACTCCATTCTCTTCTGGAGATGAAGGATACGACTTTCATTGGCCAAAATTTGAGAGACGGATTTGGTGACTACACTGATTTACAAAGTTGTAAAAACAGATGTTTGAGGAACTGCTCATGCAAAGCACTTCATTTTTATGGTGGTTATTCAAAAGGGTACTGTTTATTGCTGAATGAAGTTCTCTCCCTTGTGACAATGGACGTGGGAAACATCAAATCTATTTATCTGAAGGTGCAAAATTCCTCGACTCAGCCGATAATATCAATTCCAAAAATTAGTCATCCATGGGTTCAACAGAGGCATGCCAAAATGATATTGGGGACTATTGGTGCTTCCATGGCTGTGCTTGTAATGATCACCATTTATTTTGTCTTGGTTAGGAAAACAGTCCAACCCGAAGATGAGGAAGAGTTTTTGGATGGTCTGCCAGGGCTCCCTACTCGATTCTCTTATCAAGACTTGAGTGCTATGACCCAAAATTTCAGTACAAAACTTGGGGAAGGAGGGTTTGGTTCTGTTTTCGAAGGTGCATTGTGTGGAGGCACTAAGATTGCAGTAAAGTGCCTCAAGGGAATTGATCAAATCAAGAATTCATTTATGGCGGAAGTGGCAACAATTGGAATCATTGATCATGCCAATCTGGTAAAATTATTAGGATTTTGTGCTACAAAATCACAGAGGCTTTTGGTCTATGAATACATGGTGAATGTCTCTTTGGACAGATGGATTTTTAATGGGAACAAGGAACATGGTCTGAATTGGCAAACCAAAAAGAAAATCATGTTAGACGTTGCCAAAGGGTTAGCATATCTTCACGAAGATTGCAACCATAAGATCATTCACTTGGACATCAAACCTCAGAACATCCTCTTGGACCAAAATTTCAACGCAAAAGTTGCAGACTTTGGTTTGTCAAAGCTGGTAGCAAAAGACCAGAGCAAAGTTGTGACAACAATGAGAGGAACTCCAGGCTACATAGCCCCAGAATGCATGAGCTTGATTATAACAGAGAAAGTAGATGTGTACAGCTTTGGGATCGTGATGTTAGAAACTGTTTGCGGGCGGAAGAATGTGGACTGGGATCAGGCCGAGGAAGAAGAAGTGCATTTGCTGAGTGTGCTCAAGAGAAAAATAGAAGAAGATAAACTGGGAGACATGTTGGATATGTACAACAGAGATTTGGAAGTGCAGAGAGAAGAAGCAATAGAAATGATGAGGGTTGCTGCTTGGTGCTTACAGAGTGATTTTAGCAAGAGGCCATCCATGTCAGTGGAGTGAAGGCATTACAAGGTTTGGCAACTGTTGATAATAATAACTTAAACTTGGATTACAACTTCAGTAATGAGGAGGGGGGAGCAGCTTCTGATGCTACCAGCAATACAGTATTAATTCCATCAATTTTATCTGGGCCAAGGTGAACTGCCTGCTTAATCCATTATCCTGTCACAACATAATAAAGCAAATTAGATGCTGGGTATCAATTTCCTGTTAATGTTTTTAATTTGCTACAATTTACACTTTTACTTTGTATAATTCTACTTGTGTGTATGATGGACCTAATTCAAACTGATGCAATTTTGCAGGAAACTAGTTATGTATTGCGTATACTGATGTGTATCAGTTCATGGTACGTTTTAGGAGGCACACAAAATTTAGCAAAAATGTCAACAAAATTAAGTTAGAAGGTTGATGAAAGGAACTCGTAGTCACTATTCTTAGGGTATGCACTGAGTAAAATTCACTTTTACATGGCGTTTGGTTGGAGAGAATTTAAATTACATTCTTACTTAATTTCCACCTAATTCCAAAGGCCACTAAATTCATTAGTTTGGTCGGAACGAATTGCAATTCAATGGAATTGCAATTCCCTCGTTTTAATGGAATTAAAATCTCATGCCCCCTTGGGATTTTAATTCCATGGATCTTGGGAAGAAAAGAAAATAATAATGAGACAAATTTACCATCCATTTTTAACCTAAATTGATGTCTAACAACAACAATGACCATTTTGGACTTTATAGTACTTATTCGAGGAAATTTCAATTTTGGTCATATGACTATAGGGGTCTTGTTAATTTCAGTCCTTGACTTTTAAAAGTGTCAATTTATTACCTTAACTATGCAATTTTTGTCAATTTTGGTCACTCCGGCCAAATTTCGCGGGAAAATTTTAATTGTTAAAATAATGAGGGTATTTTGATCATTTCACGTCTCTTTTCTTCTTCTCAAACGAGTCCATCACTTCCTCTCCCGTTTCCGGTGAATGCAATGAACTAAGATGATGGGGAAAGGAGACTTGATGATATTAAAGATAGAGTTTAGAGGGAGAAAGAACGCCGGAAACGGGAGAGAAAGAGATGGACTCGTTGGAGAAGAAGAAAAGAGGCGTGAAACGATCAAAATACCCTCATTATTTTAACTATTAAAATTTTTCCGGCGCAATTTGGCCAAAGTGACTAAAATTGACAAAAATTGCATAGTTAAGGTACTAAATTGACACTTTTTTAAAAGTCAAGGACTGAAATGAACAAGACCCTTATAGTCATATGACCAAAATTGAAATTTCCTCCTACTTATTCCCATGTATACCAAACATTGGAATTGAAATTCCCCGTAATTTTATTCCTGTAAACCAAACACTGGAATTTAAATTCCCACTTTATTCCCAGTAATTCATCTCCCATGGAATTGGAATTCCTTTCCCATGTAATTCCCTCATTCCAATCAAACGCCCCGTTATATAATAGCTCACAAACCACACAAGATGAATAAATCACGTTACTACATTAGGGCATTGGTCGGGTTAACATCACAAACCACACAAGAACGTGAAAGACCATGTACATTAAGCTTGACTGAGAGAGTAATGGGAATAATCAAACTCATTAATTACAAATCAAGGGCTTAACCCACTCGATGATTCCCTTCGGGATAAAATTTATGCCTCTCGCCTTCAAGAATCATGTACGTCAATATTTATGTAAATTAATTACACTTTGGGAAGAATGTAATTAGTTACACTTTTTATCTTGTCAAATTTTTTCTCAAAGTAAAATATTTAAAATTTTTGATAAATAATATATTTCCCCTATTAAAATCACCTGTAATGTTACTCACAACATGGCACATTATCCATAGCATTTTTTAAAAAACTATTTATTTTTTGATTACTTATAAATTAGTTTACCATACTATAAATTAATAAACAAAATAATTAAGTACCAAAATTTAATGTAATACAATAATAGCATGTTTGAAAGTAAATATTAAATGAGTAATACTTTAGTAGGAGACACAACATAAAATTTGTCTTGACACATCATTTGTTTTTTTTTTTGGAAAATTGCACTTTTGGTCCCTCAATTAGTCAATTGTTGCTCGATCTGCAATGTGGTCTCCCACTGTCAATTTCATCCAATTGAGTCCCTATTATCTTTAAATCGTAGTCAATTTGGCCCTCCGGTCATATTTCTCTTAAACTATACTTAATACCATGGACAGAAATGTAATTTCACAATGCCCTCCCTTTACCCCTAAATTCTTACACGCCATTTCATTTCAACCCTAAATTCTTATACGCCGGCAGAGGAGTTTCGTGGTCTGGGGAGTAGTGAAACGACGGAGCCGAGGGTTTTCTTGTGTAACTATTGCCGGAGTAAGTTCTACAGTTTCCAGGCGTTGGGCAGCCACCAAAATGCGCACAAGCGGGAGCGGACCATGGCGAATTGGGGGCAGAAAATGTTGGCAGGGGTAGCGGCGTTTGGGTATGACGCACCGATTCACAGGTACCCCAGCATGGCTTCTCTCCCGTTGCATGGCTCGTATAATCGCTCCCTCGGCATTCAAGCCCACTCCATGATCCACAAGCCCGCCGATAGCTATTTTGGTGCTCTGGCCACCCGCGCTGGGCCGCATCCCATCTACGGCTACAATGGGTGGCCAAAAAGGCCGCTCGATCAACAGCCGGTCGTCGGATGCCTGGCCAGGGAGTGTTTAGGGTCGTCGTCGAACAGCGCCGCCGCTATATTTAATACGGCGGAATCCGATGGGGTAGCGTCGACAGAGGTGGTGGTGCTTATCATATCAAGATTATAACAATCAAGCTGAGTTGAATAAGTTAGACTTATCCTTTAAACTGTAATTTTAGGTTTTTTTTTTTAACGAGAGTAGTAGTAGTAATTTTTCCGTTTTCCGGCGTATTCTCCCTTGGGTGTTCGAGTTTATCCATGGTTTCTTGGGTGGTCAACGGAGGTTTTCACCGGCTGCTTGCTTAGAATTTTTCCGGTAGTCAACAGTACACCGTCTTCCTGTTTCGTCTGGTTTTTCCAGCCGGTAACAGTTCTATTGAAGGAACTTCGGTGGTCAACAGTCCACCGTCTTCTTCATCTGGTATTTCCGGCTAGTGAACTGGATTTTTGTGGTAGTCAAAGCTCTGTGCCGGTTTTCTTCTGTTTTTTCCAGCTAGTCAACTGGGTTTAACGACGGACGACGGTCAAACCTCTGCAAATGATTGAATGGAAGCCGGAGATACTACCTTACTCTAACAGTACACCATCTTTGTAAATTTCACATCTTTGGGATTAAAATGGCGTGTAAGAATTTAGGGGGTAAAGGGAGGGCATTGTGAAATTACATTTCTGTCCATGTATCAACTTTAGTTTGAGAAAAATTTGACCGGAGGGTCAAATTGACTACGATTTAAAGGTAATAGGGACTCGATTAGATGAAATTGACAGTGGGGGACCACATTGCAGATCGAGCAACAATTGAGGGACCAAAAGTGCAATTTTCCCTCTTTTTTTTTTTGGTACAAATTGACACATCATTTGTTGATGTTATATCATACATTTTTATTTTTATTTTTTACAACAATAAAGTGTTGAATCAAAATTGAATGCAATCTTTGTTTAATTAATTGTATACATGTAGTTAATTATACATTAATATTCAAACATATGTATTATGATATATTGAGTTTTTAAATACAATAAAGTACAATAATCTATGCATCACACTAGCAAGTAGGGCTGGGCACTCAGGTTTCAATTTTAAAAAAATTAAACCATTCGGTTTAAAATAGAATTCAGTTTCGGTTTGAAAAGTTCGGTTTCGATTCGGTTCAATTTTGGTGGAAGTCCACTATTTGAACATTTCTTTTTTTGCCTGACCGATTGTTCAGTTGGCTCACTTGGAGTGTCACTTGAAGTGTTTTGTTGATGACAATATGAAGAATCATCCATCTATAGTTAATATTTAATTTGAAAAATAAGAATTATTAAAATATCAAATGTTGGGACTTATGACTTAGAGTTGAGATCTGAGGACTTGAAGAGTTGTTATTATTAATTATTGTAATATGTATATATAATACTAGCATTTTGCACGCGTGATGCGCGAAATTTATGCCCAACATTGAAAATTGATAAATGCAAATAATTACAAATAATTATAGTTCAAATTATATTTCGCAATACCTTAATTTAGTAAATTTTAATCACCGTATTTGGAAACTATAGAGATGAACAAAATTGATATTTTGTTCATTAATAATGTAAACAATTTTGATATAATTTATACTTTATTTTTACAATAAATAAATAAAATATCTATACTACTAATCTAGTAACTGGTCACATATATTGGTGTGTATGCGTGCCTATATATATACACACATATATGATTTACTATTCATAAAAATTTAATTAAAATATAATCAACAATTAAAGTAATTATACAATGATTTTAATAAAATGATAATTAAAGAATAGGAAAAAGATATCATAGATAATTAAATATAGGTGTATGATAATAATGATAGAATTATGAAAGTTTTAGAATTAAATAGTAACAATGTTATAACGGTATAAGGGTATTTTAATCTAACAAGAAAGTAGTAGGGACAATTTTATCCATTACAATTGAAGTGTACAACAGTTAATAAAAAATGTATACCTTTATTAACATACAAATGTAAACATTGACACAAATGTGCCTATAGTTTAATGGGTAAGTTTCTTGATTTCAAATTTGGTAATTAAGGGTTCAAATATCACTTAAGATATTTAAATATATTGTATATATTTATTATATAAAAAAATTAAAAAGAAAACGATCAGTTCTTCAATTTTCGAGTAAAACCCGAACCAAACCGATCGGGTTACCTAAACCGATGGTTTAGGACCGAACCTCAGTTCGAATAATCCTAACCGAAGTGGTCAGCCCTACTAGGAAGCCAGAAAAAGACTTGGTAGACTTGACTATCGTACGTGCACCACTTAATGGGCAAGTTTCCTTAGAACATGCTAATGTTTGAAATTTAAATTAATTATTATTATCCTCGGATTCAGGAAAAAAAAAAGTGTAGCATTGGCCTTGTGTAGATGGGTTGCATCATTAAGTTCATCTTGGATCAATTTAACTGTAGTTGAATTGCAATTCAGTTGATGTCTCAATTACATTGTTTAGTTAGAGGAACAGAATTGCAATTCCCTCTTTTTGTTGAATTGTAATTCATGGGGTATCCCGTATCCTCATGAATTGCAATTCAATGAATTTGAGAAAGGAAAAACATATGAAATGACATTACTACTATTGGTTGATATTACTATTATTATTACATAAGGATATTTTAGTCTTTATACCACTTATTTCTTTTTCAATTTCAATAATTTTATTTCTCTCCACCAAACAATGTAATTTGAATTCCTACTTTATTCCCACCCTATTCTTTTTTCACCGAATTATAATTCATTTTCTCATAATTTTTTCCTTCCAACCAAATGCCCCGTTAGGAGTAAAAGTTCAGATTTATTTTCAAAAAAAAAAGGTTGAGATGTGTGGCAGTAGACTTGACGGTAGGGCAGGGCAGAGGAAGACTAGATTGGTAGACTTGACTTAATTAATAGCTTACGCGTTATGATGTGTGACTTGTGAGCTTGGTTTGGTTTGGTTTCCTACCCATTATTATATTGTTGCTCCTCCGATCCTTTGATTACACATACACACACACAATGATGGCGACTTGGCATTACATTTACTACACCCAAACCCAGTCATCATTACGTATCCTTGCAGCAGCGCAAGTTCTCCTAGTACTAGTAGTAGTTATCCTTTGTTCGCAATCCAGCCTGCTTATCTGTGGCCAACCGCAACCGCTTGCGGAGTATAATATTGGCAACTCCTCCTCTATTATTTCCTGGACCGACAGTAATAGTAACTACTCCTATGACGCAAATTATGGAGTTGGATTATCCAGGGTTATCCTGTTCAGACAAATCAATTCTTCTACCAGCTTCGCATGTGGCCTAATCTGTGATTACTTTGGCACTACCTGCCTCTTCGGTGTCCTTGTTTCCCAATATTTTTATTACAACTCGCCTCACAACCACCAGTATCTAATTTGGTCTGCTATCCAGAAGCGAACTGTGACAGTAAATGCAAGCTTGGAACTGAGGCGAGATGGAGGGTTGTTTCTGATGGAGTCTGACGGATCCCTGGTTTGGTCCACGCACACCAATACCAATGTCTCCGGTTTGAAATTGACGGATAAGGGAAATCTTGCCATTTTTGGACAAAATAATGAAACCATTTGGCAGTCTTTTGATTATCCAGTGGACGTTATACAACCTCGTCAAGGGCAAGTAAAAAATGGTAGGGCAATGGAGCTTATCAGAGGCAGCATATCAACTTCAAACTATGGAGAAGGTTAGCTAGCTAGCTACTGTTCATTCTTTTTTGTAGCTTTTCATTATATTGTGACTATAAATATATTTTTATTTGAAATTGATTCAAAAAGTTAATTCCACTAGAAGCCTCATGACTTTAATCTCAGATTATTGTTTTTATCATTTAACATTAGACTATTACTCCGTATTATTTTTAGATAATTTTAGTTATTTTCATGACTTTTTTTTTCTAATTTTAGTAAAGACATTTTTGTATTTTCATATTTTTTATTAGTTTTTCAGTTTCAACTAGTTTAATTAGTTTAGAACTTAACTAAAAAATAAAAATTAGTTGAAAATGTGGTTATTAAAAATCAAAAGGTTACCTAAAATTCAAAATTAATTAAATTGGGAAAATATGAAGACACCAAAATACCCTTACTAAAAATATGAAAAAGACTAACCAAAATATAACAGTCTAGGTTGTTAAATGACAAAAATAATAGTCTAAATAAAATTTGAAATTGCTATCAAAGACAAGAAAGCTAAGATGAAATTAAGTCTTAATTCAATGGAATCTTTGAATATATAAATATATAAAGATCTTCTAATTTTTGTGTACATCTATAATCACTTTAATTATACTCGCACACTTTAATGATAAGCAGCAGCTTTTGTGTGGAAAATTCTTCAGATGGGGTTCCATTATCTGTAGTTCTCCTGTTCCGTCATGGCAGCATTCATTATGATGGGATGTTTACGTGTGGCTTAATCTGTGATGACTTCGGCACTACCTGCCTCTTCGGTGTCCTCTTACTCCAGGATATTGATATACCCAATGAATTAAACTTGGATTACCAGAGTCTAGTTTGGTCTGCTAACCGGAACCATCCTGTCACAGTTAATGCAACCGTGGAACTGAGGCGAGATGGAGGCTTGGTTTTGATGGACTCTAATGGAACAGTGGTTTGGTCCACACACACTAATGGGACTCCTGTCTTGGGATTGAATTTGACCGAGAATGGAAACCTTGTCATTTTTGGCAAAAATTATGAAACCATTTGGCAGTCTTTTGATCATCCTACAGACACTATACTACCTGCTGCTTGGAAAGTAATGTCGTCCGGTCTTAGGGGACAGACGATTCTCAAAGCCAGTATATCAAAATCAATTTTTGGAGAAGGTTTATATTCACTCTACATTGATTATGACTATTCGGCTTATGCTTATATACGCTCCTCTAATGCGTATTGGTATCAATATGCTAATATAGAAGATATGTCCAATTATTTTCCAAACAATGCATTCATCAAGTTTGAGCCTGATGGACATTTGAGAACGTATGGAATTGAGTCTTCTGACTGGGCGGAAACTGCTGATGTTTTTACACCTCCTACTGGTTTTTGTGGATACCCATTGGCTTGCGGAAAATACGGTGTTTGTGATGGGTATAATCAAAACTGTAATTGTCCTCCTGATCATGAACTGGGCTTTTTCACGCCAGTTAACCGAAGTCAAGCAACCCAAGGATGTTCTTTAAATACTCCCATTTCGTGTGAGCATTCCCAACTCCACACTCTTCTGGAGATGAAGAATACGAGTTTCATTGGCCACAATGTGAGAGACGAATTTGGTGACTACACTGATTTACAAAGTTGTAAAAACAGATGTTTGAGGGACTGCTCATGCAAAGCACTTCATTTTTATGGTGGTTATTCAAAAGGGTACTGTTTATTGCTGAATCAAGTTCTCTCCCTTGTGACCATGGACTACGTGGGAAGCAACAAATCTATTTATCTGAAGGTGCAAAATTCCTCGACTCAGCTATCAATTCCAAAAACTACTCATCCATGGGTTCAACAGAGGCATGCCAAAATTATATTGGGGACTATTGGTGCTTCCATGGCTGTGCTTGTAATAATCACCATTTATTTTTTGTTGGTTAGAAAGAAAACAGTCCAACCTGAAGATGAGGAAGAGTTTTTGGATGGTCTGCCAGGGTTTCCTACTCGATTCTCTTATCAAGACTTGAGTGCTATGACCCAAAATTTCAGTACAAAACTTGGAGAAGGAGGGTTTGGTTCTGTTTTTGAAGGTGCACTGTGCGGAGGCACTAAGATTGCAGTAAAGTGCCTCAAGGGAGCTGATCAAATCAAGAATTCATTTATGACAGAAGTTGTAACAATTGGAAGCATTCATCACGCCAATCTGGTAAAATTATTAGGATTTTGTGCTACAAAATCACAGAGGCTTCTAGTCTATGAATACATGGTGAATGTCTCTTTGGACAGATGGATTTTTAATGGGAAGAAGGAACATGGTCTCAATTGGCAAACCAAAAAGAAAATCATGCTAGACGTTGCCAAAGGGTTAGCATATCTTCACGAAGATTGCAACCATAAGATCATTCACTTGGACATCAAACCTCAGAACATCCTCTTGGACCAAAATTTCAACGCAAAAGTTGCAGACTTTGGTTTGTCAAAGCTGGTAGCAAAAGACCAGAGCAAAGTGGTGACAACAATGAGAGGAACTCCAGGCTACATAGCCCCAGAATGCACGAGCTTGATTATAACGGAGAAAGTAGATGTGTACAGCTTTGGGATCGTGATGTTAGAAATTGTTTGCGGGCGGAAGAATGTGGACTGGGATCAGGCCGAGGAAGAAGAAGTGCATTTGCTGAGTGTGTTCAAGAGAAAAATAGAAGAAGATGAAGTTGGTGAGATGTTTGATATGTACAACAAGGATTTGGAAGTGCAGAAAGAAGAAGGAATAGAAATGATGAGGATTGCTGGTTGGTGCTTACACAGTGATTATACAAAGAGGCCGTCCATGTCACAGGTGGCGAAGGCATTACAAGGTTTGGCAAGTGTTGATAATAACTTAAACTTGGATTACAACTTCAGTAATGAGGAGGGGGAAGTAGCTCCTGATGCTACCAGCAATACAGTATTAATTCCATCAATTTTATCTGGGCCAAGGTGAAGTAGGTACGTGCTTAATCCATTGTTCTGTCACAACATAAAGCAAATTAGATAGTGCATATCAATTTCCTGTTAATCTTTTTGTTTCAGTTTACACCTTTAGGCTTTAGCTTGTATAATTTTAATTGTGTATGATGGACCTAATTCAAACTGATGCAATTTTGCAAAAAACTAGTTATATGTATTAATGCATATGCTGCATTTCAAAAATAAATTAGTAGCTTCCTAACATTTTTCTCATTTTTATCGTTATTATTTTAAATAAATGACATAATTTACCATCGCAATTAAAACCCAACTTTTTCTCATTCTCTTATATTTGTATGCATTCACCACCTAGTAACTCCTTAATCTTCAAACAAGTCTTCAGATCTCTGGTGTGGTTTTTCTTTTTCTTTTCATTTTTTTTAACCCACTCCACGCCCATGTGTTAGCCTCCTCCTCCTCCCAATATGGCTCCAACATACTATTACTATTACTATTACTATTGCTCCAACAAATGATAATATGGATGAAGATAATTTTAAGTGGACCAACGAATACGTGGTGTTTTTTTTTTTGTGAGATTTGTATCAAATATATTCGAAAGCATGAACATAGGTTAATGAAATGTAAAGAGATTAAAGAAGAGTTTGAAGCTACTGCAAAACGAAAAATTGCATATAAAAGTTTAAAGAATAAGTGTGATGCTAGATCATGATTATGTTAATAGTTTTATTTCAAAAATGTTAAATTTTAATAGGTAAACAAACCTATTTAAATTTAAAAATATTTAAATTTTATGAAGATGTCCTTTTTAACCTTTTTACATTTATCAACTTATCAAAAAACTAATTTTACCAAACACTTTTAAGCATAATCAACTAGTTTAACAGTTTTTCAGGTTTCACCTACTTTTCAGCTTTCAGCTAAGTTTGCAAAACATAGTCGTAGTCACTATTTTGAGGGTATGCTATGAGTAAAACTCACTTTTATATAATAGCTCACAAACTACAAAAGATGAGTAAACCACGTTAGGGCATTGGGTTAACTTCCAATTCTATATAATAGCCACAAACCACAAAAGAACTAGAAAGATCATGTGCGTTGAGTTTGACTGAGAGAGTAATGACAATAATTAAACTCATTAATTACAAATCAAAGGCTTAACCCACTCGATCATCCCCTCCGGGATAAAATGTATGCCTCGCCTTCAAGAATCATGCAACTCAATATTCATGTAATTAATTACAGTTTTTATCTTGTCAAATTTTTTCTCAAAGTAAAATATTTATAATTTTTGATAAATAATATATTTTTCCCTATTAAAATCACCTGTAATGTTACTCACAAGTCACAATATGGCACATTATCTATGGCTTTTTTTAAAACTATTTGTTTTTTGACTACTTAATAAATTAGTTGACCATACTATAAATTAATAAACAAAATAATTAAATAAAAAATATTAATACAATAATTGCATGTTCGAAAGTAAATATTAAATGAGTAATACTTTAGTAGGAGACACAACATAAAATTTGTCTTGACACATCATTTGTTGATGTTATATCACATTTTTTTTTTACAACTAACAATAAGTGTTGAGAATATTGTCAATCGAAATTGAATGCAATCTTTGTTTAATTAATTGTATACATGCAGTTAATTATACAATAATATTCAAACTTGTGTACTATGATATACTGAATTTTTTAATTCAATAAAGTAATCTATGCATCACACTAGCAAGCAAGGAAGAAAAAGACTTTGTAGACTTGACTATCGTACATGCACCAAGTCAATGAGTAAGGGCTTATTTGGCAATTAGCAGTTAGCGGTAGCAGATTGTATTAGCGATTAACAATTAACGTATTGTGTTAGCGGATTTGACCAGCAGATTGTATCAGCGGTTTATAAAAAAGATATTTAGTAAAATTAGCGGTTAACATGTAAAATGACCAAAAAGATATAATAATAATAATAATAATAATAATAATAATAATAATAATAATAATAACAAAAAACAGAAAAGATGTGGGATTAATCGAAAGTTTAATAAAAAAAAAAAAAGGGTGTTGGCTCCCTTATAAAAGGGAGCTCAACGCCCCTTTAGGAAAAGAGTATAGAAGCCTGAGGCTTCTTTAAATAAAGAATCCTCCGGCTTCATTAAAAGTTAAAAGTTAAAAGTTAAAACGATGTAAATATTTTTTTAATTTTATTTTTAATAATTGGAGGGTCTTTTGGGGAAGGAAGATTCCTTTCCCAAAATGCCAACTCAACAAGCTGCTAAATGTAGTGTGTTGAACTTCAGCGGTTTGGAGTAGTCCACTGCACTTCAGCGTTTTGACCGGTCAAAACGTCAAAGTTGGCGGATTCGCCAATAACTAAACATGTTTCTTTGGAACATGCTAAAATTTGAAATTTGAATTAATTTTTACTATTCGCGAATTTAGGAAAAAATGATATTATTATTAAAAAAAATTGGGGTCAAAGGGTACCTATGAGGTCATGTACTATAGTGAGTGATAATAGTTAAAGCTAATTATTTAATTTTTTACCACCAACCTACCTTAATTTTGAAACAATTAAGGACAATAGCGAATGTGCTGATATTATCTCTGCCACATCATCAAACTTACATGTCAATTTATATATTATTTTATAAATATTTAAAATTAATTATTTTTACCATCAATATATTACATTAATATGTCCAAAACAAAGACACACATACATGCTTATATTAAGATTTGAACCCACAACCTCTTATCTTACATAGAAAATACACTCATTACCACTCTACCATACTCTTATCTAGTTTTTTTTTTTTTTTTTTTTTTTTTTTTTTTTTTTGTATATAATGTAAACAATGGTTAAATGCCATTATAAAATGTGATAGTTACATCTAATGTGATGGACTCTTTGTAAACAATGGTTAAATGACCTCTTGATAGATACACCCGACACTAATTAATTTATTCTTCCATTATCTTGTCGAGTCAAATTAAAACGTTTTTATAAAAAAAAAAATGTGATTTGTAAAAAAACTAATAGTCGAGTTTTTGATTATATCACACTGCGACTATTAAAACTCGATTATGTATTTTTATCCAAAACTAACTAAGCTATACATGCGTGCAACAATATATTAACCCTAAATAATGTTGGAAAAAATTGCTTGTATTCTACAATATTTTTAAGATAGGAATAAAGGTCAAATAGGTCATCGAACCACACACAATGATGCAATTAGGCAACTGAACTCAAAAAAATTACAATTAAGTACCTAAACTAACAAATTTCAAACAATTTGTCTAATTTACAAGTTTTCCCCCTTTCTAATAGGTCACCTAATTTAAAATATTTTTTAAAATATTTTTTAAAAAAAATTAATTAAAATAAACTAAAATTATAATTTTTTTAAAAAAAACAAAAAAAAAAAAAAAAACAAAAAAAGCTTCATCTTCGGCCATGGGCCATGGAGACAAAGGGACCTTCGTCTCCATGGCTGGAGACGAAGATGGGATCTTCGTTTCCATGGCCGGAGACGAAGATCCGGGATCTTCGTCTCTGGCTGGAGACAAAGATACCTCCGCCTCCATAGCCGGAGACGAAGAGTCTCCTCGGAGACGAGAGGTTTTCTGTTTTTTTTTTTTTTAAATTTTTTTATTTATAATTTTAGTTTATTTTATTTATTTTTAAAAAAAAAATATTTTTAAAATATATTTTAAATTGGGTGACCTGTTGGAAATGGGAAAAACTTTCAAATTGGACAAATTGTTTGAAATAGATTAGTTTAGGGACTCAATTGTAGCTTTTTTGAGTTTAGTGGCCTAATTGCATTATTGTGTGCAGTTCGATGGCTTATTTGATCTTTATTCCTTTAAGATACATCAAAAAATACATAAGAAAGTAAGGGGAAAAAATTGGATTACTTGACATCTTCACATGTGTACTCACTTTCTACAAGTCTTTAATCTCTCTTTACAAGCAATAGGGATACCCGATTAAGGGATGAATATTATGTAGTGATTTTAATTTGATAGAAAAATGACATTAAATTTTTTGTATTTATTTTTTAAAAAAACCATACCATATATAATTACGTGTATTCATTTTAGAATAAGAAGAGTATAAAAATGTTATACCTATTACTATACAATATACATGACTCGTCTCGTTTTAATAAAGATGAACTAACACATCATTACATGCTTAGATGGTATGTAGTGACCTCTTTCATATGAGAGGTCATGAGATTGAACCTTAGTGGAGGCTAATGTATACTTAATTGCTATATTAGCAATTTTGTTAAATCCAAGTTGTCAAATTTACAAATTTGCTTGTCAATTCTAACAATAGATAAAGCAATCCCGTTGTCTAATCAGTGCAGAAATGTACATCTACCAAAGAAGACCAATCATTATTGCATGGAACATGGTCCACACAATTGTGTGTATCATAAATAAAAAGTATATTTTTAATATATTAAAGGTACATTATTTATATACGTAAGATATATTTTTTTAAAGTATTTTTTTAATATACTAAGGGTACATTATTTTATATAATGTGCCTTCAGTACAAAAATAATGTGTCTTCAATACAAAAATAATATACTTTTAATATATTAAAAATGTACCTAATATTCATGGTCCACACAATAATTGACGGAGCATTATGCTGTGCAACTGTGTGCACCATGCATGGTGCACACGGAAAACGATGCCGTTTTGATGTCCGACTTAAAAAAAAAATTAAAATTGCATAACTACACATTCATAACTTCATAACTACACATCCAGAATTATATAACTACACATCCATAACTTTATAACTATACATTCAGAATTCCATAACTACACATCTATAACTTCATAACTATACATTCAGAATGTGAAATTATAACTTCATAACTATACATTCAGAATTGCATGCATAATTACACATCCATAACTTCATAACTAAAAATCCAAAATTGCATAAGTACACATTCATAATTTCATAATTATAAATCTAGAATATGAAATTATAAAATTATGAATAGCTGTTTATGTAACTAACGTCAATCGAAAATAATTTTTCTTATTTAAATAAAATGACACTGTTTTTACATTCGTGTGCACCATACACGGATGCAGAGCATAATTTGCCATAATTGGCCGAAGACAAGTTGGTAGACTTATCATACACCAATTAGGCATGGGTAAGTTTACTGAAATTCGTTAGAGATGGGGTCCACTGTTAGCCTTGCGAGTGGAATAAATCTTGGAATGTACTACGTAATTGGTATACACTATACTCGTCCCCACACGTAGACCGTAATGATAACCAAAAAACACGGTCGTTGACAAATAACAGAGTTTTTTTTCTTTTTTTTTTTTAATTGAAAACAATAACAGAGCCTTTAATAGAAAAGAATTGTAATTTAGTGGAAAAAATAATTTAAGAATAAATAGAAATTTTAATTACGTTGTTTGGTATCTAAAATAGAATTATTGGGATTAAAATAAAAATTATTGATATAAAAATAAGAAAAAAGGTTAAATAAGCCCTTGAACTTTAACTTAAGAGTCAATTAGGCCCCTAAATTTTTTAAAGGTGCAATTACACCTATCAATAATTCATTTAGGTGCAATGAAGCCCAAAAACAAGTTAATGACCTGCCATCACAGATCATTAGGGCTATTTGACCATTTTCCCTAATAATAATAATAAAGGATACTAGTGCTATTGCACCCATTTTTTTTTTTTTTCTCACAATCACAATTCATGATGTACCCCGAATTACAATTCACAAAAGAGGGAATTACAATTCCATCGAACAAAACATTGTAATTGGAATGACCAAAGAATTGTAATACAATTCATGTCTACCAAACAACTGAAATAAATGGTTCCCATCAGGGTATTTTTTTTGGTGAGGTGGAGAGGGGAGATAGTAGAAGAAACAAAATTGAGTATGTTACAATATTTTGATCTTGGTTTTAGTTGTTGAGAGGTTAACCGAGCTTCTCCTTTGATTAAAGAATAATGGCTTCTCATTTCACTCCATCATCATCATCATCATCATGTACCACAATTTTGCTTGCAGCTCTCTTACTTATCCTTTGCTCACACCAATCTGTCGTTATATGCAGCGGGCAACTTACCAAGACTACTATTGCCAATTCTTATATGCAGCGGCTCCACAGTCCTCCTCCATCATCAGTATCACTCTCTTCTCCAGAAAACAACCCAAGGACGAACCTCAAATTGGTATTGCTGCCTATTGCTGGATCTGCAGGGGTGCTCTTAATCGCAGCTTTTTTCTTCGTCTGGATTGCCCACATGATTAAGAGAATTCAAGTAGAAGATGAGGAGGAGGAGTTCCCGGATGGGGTGCCTGGATTGCCAACTCGATTTTCATATCAGAATCTCATTGCCATGACACAAAATTTCAGCCTGAAACTAGGGGAGGGGGGATTTGGTTCTGTATTTGAAGGTGCATTGCCAGATGGAACTAAAGTTGCAGTAAAGCGCCTCCGGAGATTAGAAGTCAAGTGTTCATTTTGGACGGAAGTGGCAGCAATAGGAAGCATCGATCACGCCAATCTCATAAAATTAATAGGATTTTGTGCTGCAAAGCCACAAAGGTTTCTGGTCTACGAACACATGTCGAATGGCTCTTTGGATAGGTGGATTTTTTATGGGAAGGAACATGGTCTCTCGTGGCATACCAAAAAGAAAATTATGTTAGACGTTGCCAAAGGGTTAGCATATCTTCATGAAGATTGCAACCATAAGATCATTCACTTGGACATCAAACCTCAGAACATCCTCTTAGATCAAAATTTCAACGCGAAAATTGCAGACTTTGGATTGTCAAAGCTGGTGGAAAAAGACCAGAGCAAAGTTGTCACAAAAATGAAAGGAACTCCGGGTTACATAGCCCCGGAGTGGATGAGCTTGGTTATAACAGAGAAAGTAGATGTGTACAGTTTCGGGATTGTGATGCTAGAAATTGTGTGTGGGCGGAAGAATGTGGACTGGAATCAGGAGGACGAAGAAGAAGTGCATTTGTTGAGTGTGTTCAAGAGAAAAATAGAAGAAGATAAAGTTGGTGAGATGTTTGATATGTACAGCAAAGATTTGGGAGCTGAGAAAGAAGAAGCAATAGAAATGATGAGGCTTGCTGGTTGGTGCTTACAGAGTGATTTCACAAAAAGGCCATCCATGTCAATGCTGGTTAAGGCATTACAAGGTTCTGCAGCTGTTGAAACCAATTTGGACTACAACTTCAGTTATCCACCCATTCAAAGAAACACCATATCAGTTGTTGCAACCAGCAGCATAGTATTAATTCCATCAATTTTATCTGGGCCGAGGTAAAGGGCTAGCTAGCTGATCAACCCAATATTCTGTGGCGTCATAAACCAAATTACAATATATGTTTTATGCTTATGAATTTCTGTTAATTTTTATTCCACAATTTGCTCCTTTAGCTTTTACATGTTCCTAGATTTTCACTGTTGTGTCATGTGTGCAATGCTTATTAGGTAGAGCTGTGTGAACAATGTATAGGGTACATTATTTTTGTTTGTATATGGTACTCTGAGATATAACACCCACTCAAGATTGAAGAAGCTAAACAATGTGTTCAGAGTAACATTATTTAGTATCCACACAAACCTCAATCTACTTTTCTCAGAATTAACTGAACGCCATACTGAGGTACAAGAGCTGTTCCAGCTTGAGGAGCATGCGCATAAGAAGGGGACAGCTCGAAAGCATAGCGGCGTAGGATTATAGCCAATGCCATCTTGGCCTCTAACATGGCGAAGTTCTGTCCGATGCAAATCCGAGGTCCCCAGCCGAACGGGAAGAAGGAGAATTGCCCTTTGGTTGCTTTGCTGATCCCTTCCCTGAACCTCTCTGGGTTGAACTCCTTTGCATCTTTGCCCCACATTTCTTCGTCTTGTTGCAGCAGAATGAGTGGGATGAGGATCTGAATTCCGGCCGGTAAGGTTATGTTTCCTAGTTTGGTGTCTTGTTCAATCACTCGGCCAAATGGAACCCCAGGCGGATATAACCTCAAAACCTCGTTCAAGATCATAGTTACCTGCATGCATGTACACAAATTAACAAGGTTAGTCATGGCTCTGATAAAGTTTATGGAGATGAGAAAGAATACTAACAATTTTGAGTTGGTTTAGCTTGTCGGAATCTGGTTCCTCTGTTGTGCCAATGACTTGTAAAATCTCTTCTCTAGCTCGTTCTTGCCACTCCAAATGCTTACCTAGTAAGATCATTGTCCAGACAAGTAAAGTGGAGGTTGTCTCTTGCCCGGCAAAGTAGAATAGCTTGCATTCCTCAATTATTTCATCCATACTCATTCCATAACTCTTACTTCCAAGCTGTTGGATTTCGGTGAGGTTTGATTCCAGCATTATGCCCAATAAGTCATAATTTCTAGATTCCCCTGCCTCAATTGCCTTTATTCTTTTATCAATCATTCCTAGTATTGATGATCTCACTTGGTTAAAGATTTGCTTCATCCTCCTGTTCCTTTTGGTTGGCAAATATCTATATATCCAGAGAAAGAACTACAAAATCAAGATTCAATAATCCAAGCAAGAATCTATTATTGTTGAAAATTGCAGGGATTGATGCTGCATGGTGTGATTGTACCTCAAACCTGGAATATTGTACAAGGACCGTGCTACTTGAATAGCAAGCTCTGCTTGTTCTTGTTGAAGTTCAAATATCTTTCTTCCTTGTTCATAGTTACTGCCAAAGGCTGTTCTTGAAATCCCATCAGCTGTTAGTGTTCTGAGAAAAGGCCAAACATCCAACTCTGATCCTTCTGCGCCCACAAGTTTTTCCCATTTGCTTAGCATCTCTGAACAGCTCAAATAGAATGCTGGTACCATATGCTATATATATGTGTGCAGCAAAAACATAATCTTTATTATCAGTACCAGAGCTACCAATTCAACAACACACCATTCATTAATTATCGATCTGTTTAGCACAGTTAATCATAAATTTGATAGAATAAGAAATGACGTACCTTCAATCTTTCTGCGTGAAAACCTGGATTAAGAAGTCTTCTATGCTTAACCCATTTATCTTTCTCATAAGTTGCCAGTCCACTCAAAAGGATTCTTGGAGGCCTCTGAAACACAGTGTATTTGGAGAATATCTCCCTTATAAGTTCAGGGTCCATGATGAGGACCTCTGGTTGTGGCCCCTTCCACGTAAAAGCATTCTTGCCTGCCAATAAAAACACAACACCAAGAATTAACAAACTACCTTAAATTAATCAAAATTCTCAAACCCCATAAACATGAGAGGAGAGGAAAATGTTAGTTCTTACCATAATTCCTGATAGTTTTGTCAAGGGATGGCAAAACTCTAGGAAAAATTTCATTGGTGAAACTCATAGGCTTGGAATTGGCTTCTGCCATCAACATGGCAGTCTCTTTAAGGTCCCCGAACGGCAGGCGGTAAGAGTTTCCATTGAAACCCTGTTGTCTGAGTCTCTTCTCCAACTTCTTTGGCTCAAACCATAACCAGCTCAAGGTTTTCCAGGCCCAATAAGCCCAGAAAACTACTAAACAAAACATTGCAATGCTAAAGCTGCTCACCATATTCATACTAAAATTGCTCATTGGATACTAGACAAACTGTATATGTACGACTGTAGGTGATGGATAAAAAAGAAAGCAATAAAGCAGAAGTTTCTCTCTTGTTTCCCTTATCAGATTTTTCTTGTTTTCCGCCGCCGGGGGGAAGAAAGTTATCTTTGCCAGAAAAGTCAAAGGATTGTACATGCCAAATGTTATGTAAATCATCATTAACTTGATTCGTTATTATATTTGGGCATCCTAGTATATCTAAACATAATTACTTAATTTTTGAGTAGGTATGACAAAGTATAAAATAGACCATGATCTATATTACATTGTGAATCCTGATCCAAAATAACCTTTATAGATTATATGTTGGAGTTGACATATTATGTACCTGTATTTAAAATTTGTGTGTATGTAAATAAATAATTGAAGACACATTGAGTAATATTTTAATAATATATTTTTGTGTGTAGTTAACTTTTTAGAAAATGTGAAATATGGAGTATATTATTAGAACACAATTGTATCAGATAAAAGTAGCTTTATTTTAACCAAAATTTTCAATACAATTGTATCAATTTGAGACTAGTCCATCCTAGAAAAAAAATGAAAGTTGCCACTTATAAACAAGATAAGAGTGCAAGTTACATTGTAGCATAAAAATTAACAGAGACATCGTATATTGGTGCTTTTATCTCGGCCCGGATAAAACTGATGGAAATAATACTACGCTGCTGATATGGTGTTTCTTGGAATGGGTATATAAAATTGATGGAAATAATACTGCGCTGCTGATGATGGTGTTTCTTGGAATGGGTATATAAACTGATGGCATTAATATTGCGCTGCTGATAATGGTGTTTCTTGGAATGGGTATATAACTGAAGTTGTAGTCTAACTTGGTTTCAACAGCTGCAAAACCTTGTAATGCCTTAACCACCATTGACATGGATGGCCTTTTTGTGAAATCACTCTGTAAGCACCAACCAGCAATCCTCATCATTTCAATTGCTTCTTCTTTCTCAACTTCCAAATCTTTACAGTACATATCAAACATCTCACCAACTTTATCTTCATCTATTTTTCTCTTGAACACACTCAGCAAGGGCACTTCTTCCTCGGCCTCATCCCAGTCCAAATTCTTTCGCTCGCAAATGATTTCTAACATCACGATCCCGAAACTGTAAACATCTACTTTCTCTGTTATAACCAAGCTCGCCCACTCCGGGGCTATGTAACCCGGAGTTCCTCTAATTTTTGTGACAACTTTGCTCTGGTCTTTTTCTACCAGCTTTGACAATCCAAAGTCTGCAACTTTTGCATTGAAATTTTGATCTAAGAGGATGTTCTGAGGTTTGATGTCCAAGTGAATGATCTTGCGGTCGCAATCTTCGTGAAGATATGCTAACCCTTTGGCAATGTCTAACATGATTCTCTTTTTGGCATGCCAAGTCAGACCATATTCTTGGTTCTCATTAAAAATCCATCTATCTAAAGAACCATTTGCCATGTGTTCATACACCAGAAGCCTATGTGACTTTTCATCACAGAATCCAATTAATTTCACCAGATTCGTCACATGGTGGATACTTCCTATTGTCTCCATTTCAGCCAGAAATGAATTATTGATTTCATCTGATCCTCTGAGACACTTTACTGCAATTTTCGTGCCATCCGGCAATACACCTTCAAATACAGAACTAAAGCCTCCTTCCCCTAGCTTCCTACTGAAATTTTCTGTCATAGCACTCAAGTCTTGAAAAGAGAACCCCAACAAACCATCCAAAAGTTCTTCATCCTCCTCTTCCGGCTCAACTGTTTTGTTTCTAAGCATTATAAAATAAATGGCGATTGTTAAAACCACAGCCATGGAAGCACCAATAATCGCCAGTAAAAGCTTTTTGACATTCAGAGTCGTTGGATGACTGTGCCGATTTTCCAAGCTCACACGGGAGAGAACTTCATTTAGAAATAAACAGGACACTTTTGAATAATAATTTCCAAAAAACAACCCTCCATCTCGCCTGAGTTCCACCGTTGGATTAACTGTGACAGGATGTTTCCGGTTAGCTGACCAAACTAGACGCCGGTAATCCAAGTACAAATCATTCTGCATATCCGTACCCCTGTGTGGGATTATTTGGAAACCAAAGAGGCAGAGGATAGCTAGGACGAGAGCTACTACAAAAACTATGGTACATGATGATGAAGAAGAAGCCATTATTGCTTAATCACAGGAGATCGAAGCTAGCAAGATTAAAGTGTAAGATTTTCCCAAATAATATAAATTATATATTATATATTATATATTAGGGCTTTAATTAAGTGGTGCAAGTTAACTAGGCAAACTCTGTGCCTAATATAAATTTGATGGGATACAGATTATGGATTAGATAGCACACATTCAGTTACGGTACTCAGAATGCTCAGTAGATACCAATACACCATCTAGGGTTCTGAGTCAGGTCTGAGGCAAAACAGAGCTAACGGTCTACCGTTAAAAGGCAACACAACAGGAACATCAACTATGGCTGGAGATCAATACGGCTACGCTTCCGCTATCATACGAGGTCAGGTTTCTCGTATACTATGGTTTATTATAGTTAGACTATTTAGATCTAACATTTGGTATCAGGGCCTTCATAATCTCTGCCTGGTTGATTGTTATTGCCTAAGAATCAACATTAATTAATTTGATATATATTTTTTTGTATATGCTTTGTTTTACAACATGCATACGCACGATTTTAATTTTATTTTGAATTATGAAATTATCTATCGTGATTGTTGGAGTGTGATTTCGTCTCCGATTTGCGTTTTCCGGCAATGAGAGAGAACGACGGCTGCAGATTAAAAAAAAAAAAAAAAAAAAAAAAAAAAAAAACCAGTTCTGTCATTATTTACGATTCGCCGGTAAACTTGGAACTCCGGTTGTTGTCCACGCCGGCGGCCACTGTAGATGGCTGGAGTAACGGCCGGATCGAGTTCACCGGTGATTTTTTGCTGTCATCGATGCGCCGCCGGCCTCTGTTGACGGTAGTGGACAGCGTTGGCGGAGGTGCCATCGCGACATGGAGACGGCAGCGGCGGCGATGCTTACGTTGCGACCAGGAGAGACGGCGACAACGAGGCTGCGATCCCCGGCGATGTCCTGTTTCCTCCTCTTTCAGGCGACGCTGGCGACGGGTTGTCGCTGTTCCTCAAGCTCCAGTCAACGACGAGAGTGATCCGGTGGCTTTGCAGTGAGAATGGGCGGCGGACGTTAGCGCGGCGAAGAGGAGAAACGGCGGTGGTGAAGCTGGGTTTCCGCCGACATCATTGCTCCCCCTCCTCCTCCAGGCGGCGCCGGCTCCTCGTAGTTCCGGCGACTCACTGGTTTCTTCAGTCGGCAGCTAGGGTTAAAACAAGAAGAAGATGGTGATGGATAATATTTGGGCCGGGTCAGGCCCATTGGGACAGACCTGGTCCAATACTATTAAAAAAAACATCTTGGGCCTATTTGGTTTGTGATTTTGGGTTTGCTTTAGTTTATCCACCATCATATTTAGACTTCTTCTAGTTAATTGTTTGATTTTGGGCCTATTTGGCCTATTAATGTAGATTGTTTTGGTTTCCCCTTAATTTTGAGCACATTTTAGTTTTATGTGTCTCTGGGACTTTAGAATCTATTTTGAACAAGCTATTTGGGATCTATCTTGGGTCATTAAAGTATGGATCCCACCATTTTGATTGACATTTTAAATAATAATTATAGCTCCTTTTGATTATAACATGTTTATTCAGTTCTAATTATTACTAACTACCATATTTTGGTATTTATTGTTGGTAATAATATTAAGTTTTGGGTCTATTACAGTACTAGACCATTTATCATTCATGTTATAATTCACTTGGTCTATTGAGGTTTATGAGCCTAATTTGAGTGATTAAGTGCTATAATTATTGTCTTGGCCTGTTTAGAGACATTAAGGATTTAATTGTTATTTTGGCCATTAAGAGTTACAAACTATTATTTAAGTTGATTAAATTTTTAATCTATCAATAGTTTTTTAGAGACATTAAGGATTTAATTGTTATTTTGGCCATTAAGAGTTACAAACTATTATTTAAGTTGATTAAACTTTTAATCTATCAATAGTTTTTCAGAGCTTTAATAATAATATTGAGTCTTTAATTTTATGACAAAATTAATATAGGTTGTATAGTGGTAATTTGGTTATTACCTTAACTTCAGTCTCCTTAAGTATCATAATAGTCATGGTTAATTATTATGTGGTAAAATTGAGATTAGTACTTGACATCCCTTAATGACAGTTTTGCCATTAATCAAGTTAAATTCGGCATCATTAGTTACTGTTATTAAGTTTAGGGGCTAATCCCGTTTATTACCTATTCATAATAATTATTTCATGGTAATATGCTATATTTGGTACATTGGCATGATTACCACTTCATTTTACATGACTATTAATGTTGGTAATTAAGTCCTACCAATAAATTTTTAAATGTACCATTGGACGCTGCATCGAGTTTATTGACACCGATAGTGAAGATTGGGAGAATTCTGGAGTCTTTTCTTCTCTTATGGATCGTCATCATTGTTAGCGCAATGGGGAGATGCGGTTTGCACCATTAAGGTTAGCCATTAATTATCTTTTATGCTTATTATTGATAATTAGTGCTACAGTTACAGTTAACCGCTAATTTGGACTAGTCACATGTTTTATCTTTAGAAAAATGGAAACATTTAAAGGTGTATTACCATACTTTAGTTTGTCGTTATTATTAATGTTAATAGTGATTATAATGTTACTTATTGCTATTAATAATTAATTAATGATAACATTCGTATTGTTATGGTATTCAGATATGTACCTTAAACTGTTTTCAAATAAATTTATGTGACATTACTATTGTAATGTTTTTCGGATTTCAAATTTTATTAAGTTTTCAAAATTTTATCCGAAAACGTTTATAAATGTTAGCGATTTTAACTTTTATTTTTCCATATTTAGTCTCCTACTTAATATGATAATATTATTATGGCTATTTAATGTTGTTTTGGTTATTTGCATTTTGCCATTAATAATAATAATATTATCAACTGGATTATGGAGAACGATTTTGAATCAATTTAGTAATTTTGGAAAAACATATTTTCTAGGCAATTGACTTTTGCCATTAATTTCATAATTCATTTAGCTCTTTGAATTATGATTTTAGATATGATTACCCATATTTGGTTAAGTATGAATAAATGAATATTTGGTGTAAATTCATATTTTTTAGTTGGTTCATACTCTTTAGATTGTTTTATGCATTCGATCACATTAAGTGCATAATATTAAGTTTAATTATGTAATTAGGGTTTATGAGATTTTAATTTACAAATGCTAGCATATCCATTTGGTTTGATATTGTTTGAATTTGTAAATTCAGTTATTTCTCATAAATTTGATCTTTATGCATTAAAACTTTTTCCCATGGGCTTACAGTTTAAAAAAAAATTATTTAGTACATTATTATTCAAAATGTTGGGTCTCTTTTGGTTTGGGCCCATCGGTGTTTGAATATTAAGTTTATACTTTAAAATCTCATATTGTAAATTGCTTTAAGTTATGTAATTTATTTGGAATATATGAGTTTAATGTTTAATTTTATGCATATTTGTCTTAAGTATAATATTATGTTTTTTAAATTATGCAGTTTTATTATGCCTTTAGCAATGCATACTTTGAGATGGAATTAAATTAGTTCCTATTTAAGTTGGACTTATGCATAAACTTCAGTTGCGGTAGTGCCTGAAGTTAAGCACGTTTATCCCGCTAATTTAGTTCACCATTTAAGCTTTAATCATAGGTGAACCATACAGTTTACTGGTGTATACCCTACAATTTTAGGTTCATACCCCCAAACAGTTATACATTAAGTATACATGAATCGGGGAGACATACTAGTTTTAATGGCCATGAGTTAAGGACATCTTGAGCCACTAGTATCCTTAAATTGATACTCTATTTAAGGAATTGGTTTTCAGTGAGACTTTGTCTCTAACCACCTTTCCTGAGAGTATATTTAGATTTTCTCATCACAATCTGGTATAATCTGTTTGCCAAAATTTTAAGTATTCATTGCCAATGTGATTTGATTTCGGTTCATTAAAGAATAGCCAAAGCATCTTTACTGAAATATCTTGAGTTTTTCAATCTTGGTTGATTAATGAAATGCTACAGCATATTCAACTACCTAAGATTGTTAAGTTTCAACCACATAAAGTTTAGGCAATGAATTGATAATTTTCTAGTGATCTTATAATTTTTATTTTGGCTTGGAGTAGCCACAACATCCTTAATCTGTTAAAATTATATATTAAGCGGTTTATTTTGATCACATAAAGTTTTGGACATATCATTTGTAATTAATTGTATGTAATATGATGAAATTTAGCCCACAGGTAATTTTGTTATATTTGTATAATTAATCAGGATGAAATACTGGACTACGTCATAATTTAGCCCACAGGCAATTATGTATCTGAATGTAGTTTAGTAGTTTTATCAGTGACGATAGAAATAAATCAATTTATTTACTTTATGGTTATTTGTAAATAATTTCCAATTCTATCATGAAGTTTAATTTTATGACGTAAATTTTGGTCATATTTCTTAATTTGCCCACAGGGATTAAGAAAATGAACATGATCTCTTATGTTTTTTATCATAATGATAGCAATGAATCTTATTGATTAAAACTTTAGCCTACAGGCAAGTTTTATGTCATTTGATTCTTCAACTCATTTGATAATGTTTCATCATAAATAAATTTTTCAGTTGGATCTAATTGAGTAAAACTTTAGCCCACAGGGAAGTTTTATGTCACTAGATTCTTCTGGCTCTTTAGTAATTGTGAAAAATATTCATAAGGGTTTCTTAATTGGATTTAATAGAATTAAAACTTTAGCCCACATGCAAGTTTTATGTCAATAAATTCCTCAACCCATTAAATGATAATTTTATCACAATTTCTTAGAATTTATATATTTAGCTCAATTATAATTCTAAGTTTCATAGTTTGCATTGTCAAATCATGTCTTCAGTCACTTTCCAAAATTTAGCAACTTTTATTAATTCATCCACGGGTCTTGCTCGGTAATTCAGACTAACTGTAGTAAGTTACGTGATTTGACATACATCTTTTGGATTCCAATAATAATAAAATGTA